AACCCTCACAATCTCCCACCGACTAAAAGAACAGATCACCACCAAGAGAAAAAAAAGAGCATTTTACAACTCTAGATAAGCAGAATGAAAAGTGCAAGAGAAGAATCAAACAAAAGAGACACAGTGGCAGACTTTTGATTCGTTTATCCCCAGATTACGCCAAAGCAGACATGAAGGCATTGGCTAGCATTCAAAAAAATATGAAAACGTCTCTGTTATGGGCGTTAGAGCAGTCTCTCATTGATTTGTATGACATAAAACAGTCACCGAGAGTTACAAAGACAAGCGAGCTGGTTTTGTAAGCAGATTTGTACATGGAGAGCAACTTAAAGACTGAATCCATCAGCGTTTTTTAAACTGCTCCCAAATATTTTGATATTCCCAAATTATTTAATTGCTTTTAAGTAACAACTCCGTGGTTTACGATCAGGAATGTTTCAAACAAATGTTCATTGTGCACGCTGCCATACAGGCAGAATGGCAGTGCTTGAGCAACTCACAACAAAGAATTATCATTTATTAAAGGGCCTATGCATTATTATTAAGGTCACACGCATTCACACTCAAACCTCAAGCAATGCTGATTGAAATTACTTGGATAAGCTGAATTTCTGCACAATTCTGTTCAATTTTCTTCTTCGAATACTTTTTAGGTATCCTATATCGAATTTTGGATTGTGAATTACTATTAAAATGGTTAAAACAAACAACTTTCATAGTTATACAACCATTTTAATTGCCCTTTGCCCAAAAAATGCATGTGTGTACATATATAGTGGAATGGCAACAACTATGACCACGTGTATATGTTCATACAGACATCCCTAGCACACTTTGTGTTAAATCAAGGCGCTTACAAAACCCGATATAAACTGAAATCATCATAAAATCAATAAAAAACCATTGAAAAGACACATTATTAACAGAAAGACTGACTAATTCAAGTTAAACTGCCAATAATGCTTAATTTAGCACATCTTAGGAAACAGTGTGGCCCCGTAGCTTCACAAACTATATGGAATGTCGAGGAGATTCATCGGCCTATGAAAGGAGGAGACGTTTTAGGATCATCTATATAGCTGAGCTCCAAAGATTTAGCTCAAGTCTTATGGCTTTATCTTATTCACACTCGCACACACAAACTAATTGGCTAGTTAAACGCTGTTTATGTAAAAGATTCATAAATAAAAGCTTGTTAGAAAACAATGGGGACTCCAAGTTTTCTATAACACGACAATATTGTGCTCCGGCAATTTTGTTGCCAAGGTAGAAATCAGTTGGTCTGAAAAAAAAATCACGTAAGAATGACAAAATCAGATAAAATGGCAGTAAACGTGACTTCTCTCATTGGCACTGACAGTGAAAAAAATGATAATAAAGTGTAATTTTTTTCATAATGATTGGTTGGGGTGGTGGGAATATTCACTTGGAGCCCCCGCTGGGAGTTTTGACTTCCCACAAACATATTCTGACAAAGAGACATACAAATAGTACTCTGAAAAATAAATGCAAATAAATCATTTTGAATAAATAAATAAATGAATACATAAACATTTTGTTCCTTAACAATATTAGTAGACGGCAAGCATGCGGCTACGTTTTCATTCTATATTAGTTCACACAAAGCACTTAACATACAGTATTTGCTCATGATGTCCAGGCATGGATTGAATCTGAAAATGAACATTAGTCTAGTATACTTCATATTCTCTCCAATACCCACTCACAGAAAATAAATACATATGTGATTTGATTAGAAAATATACACCGTATCTTATCTCCCTCCGTTTTGTTATTGAAATGACAAAGAACACCTACTTAGGTACACAATATTTTTATATATATTTTTTTTGCTTCATCTCTGAAACATGCGCATCTTTTTGTCTTGTAACATGCAGTATCATAAAGTAGGAACTATGCATATATAGGTCAAACTACACGCCTATGGATTTGGGGAGGGGGGTGTTAGTTGCAAGTTGCGTTTTTTTGTGAAAGTTCTTCAAAATGAGGGACATATTTATGTAAGAGACTAAACCTAAGAATAAACAAAGACAGCGATTCCTAAAATGAGGTTTCGATACGATACTAGCGGGAAAAGAAAAGCATGATATCATATAAACAAATGATAAATAATCACACATTCATTAGACATGAAAATGTCAAACTGCACTGTGAATGTGGATGGAAATACCTGCTATTCCACAATCGAACATCAGAGTTATTGCAACTGAACAGCCTGTCAGAAGAGCTGCTTCTGTTTTATCCAGGGGAATCTCATACGGGAGACGTCACTGAAGCAACTTTTAAATGAGGATTATCTTCAGATATTTGTAGGTTTGAATGACACAAAATGGCTTCAATTTGTTTGATTATATTTAAGAATTAAACTAGGAGAAAATATAAGATAATTAGCCCCACTACTAACCGCATCTCATGGCAGAGGGAGATATTTAAAACTTAAATGGAATGTTTATCCAAAACTGAAAATTCCGTTATCGTTTACTTTCGTTTGACTTTCCTTCTTCTGTGGAACACAAAAGAAGACATTTTGAAAAATGTTTCTTTTCATACAATGAAAGTCAATGGAGTACAATCTTGTTTTGGACCCCATTGACTTTAACTGAATCGACGAAAACAAAAGAGTCTTTAAAATATCTTTGTGTACACAGAAGAGAAAAAAAGTCATACAGGTTTGGAATGACATAAGGGTGAGTAAATGATGACAGAATTTTCCGTTTTGGGTGATCTATGCAAATTTCTTTGCCTCACACAAAGCTATTATGAGATTTCAGAGGATGAGTAGAATTAAGTACTTTTATTGTGCTTTTGACAGAAAACCATACAGGTTTCAAATTTTACGATGACAGACTTTTCATTATAAAACGGATAGTTCCGGTCCTTGATTCTGATTGGTTGAGCCGCGTTCGAAGCTGTCTAAAAGCAATTGGATAAATTACTATTCATTGTGGCAGTAGAGTGATGTTGCATGTTGTTTGAATACATTACAACAGAGATATGTTAGTGATGCATAAAAAAAGCCGCTAAAGTGACGTTTCCTTATGAGAATGAATTGGTTTTTATTGGGTTACAGCTTGTACACAACAAAGTCTCCCTCGAATCCACTCTTGGCTTTTTACATGACATTTTTGGCCTGGTTTATAAGTCTATACTCAATAAATCATGCTTCAAAAAAGTCTTGATCCAATTCAGGCTTGCGAATTTGCTTAATTTCCCAACTATTTAATGACTGAACAAATATCACAAGATACCATCATTGCCAAAAGAGTTCCTACAGGCAATATGAAGATAAAACGCACAAAGATTTAGTTCTGTCGGTCTTAAGCAAAATGATATTCTGAGATTCACATCCTCACACAATGACTCATACTGTAAGCCCTAAAACAGCAAATGATACAAGCTCCCTTTTTAAACAAATGCAAACTCTGACAATTCGAATGAAGAATGCGGCATCACAGAAGCAAGTATTGAGATTGATAGAGCAACATGTACAGAATGCAGTTCCAGTAGTGCAAATAAGTTCAGCGGTTTGGTAAGATGTGCAGTAAATACACACATAACAGTGCCTTCTATCAGCTCTTCTCGTGAAACCATAAGAACGTCTGGTTTAAACCATGAATAAAACACGAAAACAAAAAGTGATGGAAGTTCTCAAAGGAATAGTTCACTCATGTTTTTTGAAACCCGTATGACATTCTTTCTGTCTTCCATAGAGGACAAAAGGAGAACATTTGAAGAATGTTCATGCTGCTCTTTTCCACACATTGAAAGTCAATGGTGACCAAGTCTGTCAAGCAAGATTTTTGTAAAATTTTGTGAATAATGACCTAAATTTCAGTCTGTGAGATCATCAGAAGACTTGGAATTTAAGTCAGCGATTCACTTCCACTCTATGGAAGAGAGCAGCGTGAACATTCTCTGAAACATCTCCTTTTGTGTTCCACTGCCGTAAGAAAGAAAAGTGAGTAAATGATTACTTAATTTTCATTTTTTGATGAACTATTCCTTTAATGAGAAGGTTCAGAACATTAAAAATGTACAAAAACGGCAGGTAACAATAAAAGCAAGTTCAAAACGATGCATTGACTAAAACAAAAACACACCTTCATTTAAAGTGCTTAGGCAGAATACATTTACTACAAGAAATCAAAGCAAAGAAACGAATACACCGATGCTAACAGGAAGACGTCCCTGGCAGCTAAGAATTGCTTATTTCATGATTGAGTAAATGATTACTTAATTTTCATTTTTTGATGAACTATTCCTTTAATGAGAAGGTTCAGAACATTAAAAATGTACAAAAACTGCAGGTAACAATAAAAGCAAGTTCAAAACGATGCATTGACTAAAAAAAAAAACACACCTTCATTTAAAGTGCTTAGGCAGAATACATTTACTACAAGAAATCAAAGCAAAGAAACGAATACACCGATGCTAACAGGAAGACGTCCCTGGCAGCTAAGAATTGCTTATTTCATGATGTTTCAAGGCTTGTCTCCTTTTTGTCAGGGTTTGTTAGGATGTTGGGCAGTGGAAGAAGCCAGCTGACAGCTGGAACTGAAGAATGGAAGAAGAGGTTGTTTTGCAGGCAGTGTAATCGACACCTGAAAGATTCCTTCTGGCTGGATAGGATCATTGAGTCCAACTATCTCTCCAATCCCCTTTTTTTTCCACAATTCACAATGATAAACAATTCTTCTCTGTCCTTTCAGACTCAACAAAAGTAACAGAACTGATTTCATCTAGATGATCAGAGAATCTAGAAGGAATGTGTTAAATTAGGCAGTGTTTTCTATCCCTGGTCCCCGATTTGGGTGTGAATGTGAGCTTACATCTCTTCTGTGAATAAACCTCAAGGATATACAAACCTATGAGCTCGGCTTGACTTCAAGAACATCTGTGGAAAGAGTCTCTCTCATTAGACCCTGATCCACTATCTCATTTCAACTGTTGATGAGACCAAATGGTCTTCTTTAATACCTCTAGTCTGGTGGCCCATGGCTGCAACTCAGTGCTGATAGGGTAAGATGACATGGTGTGCATGACGTGGCATCCACCTCCTCCTCGGGTTTGAGTGGATGCCACTGAGCGATGGGCCTGCGTGGGTTCGCCTGCATGTCGGACCAGTGCCGGAGCTCAGTGCCCTGCGCTCTGCTGCCCACCCAGATCTTCCCGATGGCGTCGTTCTTGCCGATCTTATCGTAGTCTAGCACCGTGATCACAGCTTGTATTTTCTAGGAAGGAACAGATATTGCGCTTAAAGTCTGAAGGAGCACGAAAAGGTGAGCTCTTGTGTTGAGATGTGTAGAGCGTACCTCCATCTGGTCCTGTGGGATCTCAAAGCTGAAAGACTCGTTGTAGTACGGGTTGAGTGTGTTCTTCTTCACAGTCGTCTTCTTCTTCTTCAGCCGCTTGCCGTTCTGCAGAAGATGAATCTTCACGTAGGGATCTGTAGAGGTTTACCAGCACAGGAAGTCATGCATTTATATGCTGTATGTGTATACGTTTCAGTTGGCATCTTATGTATTTTGTATAAATAACTTTTGATTTGTGACTAGAGACCTTAAGGTTTTCCTCAAAGGAATGAGCTCTACCTTGAAGACTTCAATAAAGTTCTAGCATATCCCAGATAATCCAGTGTTGATATTGTAAAACTAAAACTATTTAAAATCATATTCATTAAATGAAATAAAACTGAAGTTGAAGTACTAAAACTACCAAAACAAAAACTGAAAAAATAAAGCATAGATAAATAAATAGACACACACACACACACACACACACACACACACACAAATGACAAACTTAAACTAAAATGATTTCTCTGTATTCTAGCACAGATAATCTTATCTTAAATATTTCATTACTTACTGTACATTGCTAAGTCACGGATTAATATGACTATACAATATATAAGATCACTGAATGGAATATACTAATTATTCAGGTCTTGTTTTACACAATAATAGGATTACTACTTATTTTTTGTTATTATTATTAATGCTAATATGTGACCCTGGACCACAAAACCAGTCATAAGGGTCAATTTTTCAGAAACTGAATAAATAAGCTTTCCATTGATGTATGGTTTGTTAGGATAGGACAACTATTTGAATATTTGGAATCTGAGGGTGCAAAATAATCTAAATATTGAGAAAATCGCCTTTAAAGTTATCCAAATAAAGTCCTTAGCAATGCATATTACTAATCAAAACTGAAGTTTTGATATATTTACGGTAGGAAATTTACAAAATATCTTCATGACCATGATCTTTACTTAATATCCTAATGATTTTTGACATAAAAGAAAAATCTATAATTTTGACCCATTCAATGTATTTTTGGCAATTGCTACAAATATCCCCATGCGACTTAAGACTGGTTTTGTGGTCCAGGGTCATATATATAGAAAAAATAAAACATTTATTACAGGGGAAGGAATAATGCAAGCTCATGGATCGCCCTTCGCAGGGTTCAAACCTACAACCAAACCAGTGCTTATACCATTAGGCCACCAACACCAGGTCTGTCCTACAAACACCTCCAATTTTTTTTTTTAAGATTGGAAGGTTAAGGCTTGTTTGGATAATTTTATGTTGGTGGCAGCAGTGAGGACCAATTGAGAGAGAGGCGTGCGCTGCCGAGTCAGCACGTGAGGGCTATCTCTTCTGCATGGCTAGCACTGACACTAAAGCACCGCTGCAGCACAGAGGCCGGCTGTGCATGTCTGGCAGAAACGTGCCAAATTAATGAAGTCATTAAAACTGAAACAAAGAATTAGCAATATATGCATATATATGACATACTCGCAACAGAAGACAGAAAACAGAAATCAAAACATATGTTTTTGGGTTATAGCATATGCAGGAACATCCAGTCTTCTGCATGAGTTTATCTCCACCCACTCTCTGGTGGAGAGAGGAGAGACAAGGCAGTGCGTGTGTGTGTGTGTGTGTGTGTGTGTGTGTACCTGAGAGTCCTCCAACATCCATCTTTTTCAAGTTCTTAGCCTCAAGGATACAGATGGTGAGTTTTCCAGCTGTAGGTACATAGCGCAGAGAGATGCAGATATCCCCAAGCTTTTCAGGCTGTGTTGGGGAAAATGAAATGGGCAGTTTTAAAGGGACAGTTCACCCAAAAATGAAAATTCTGTCTTTTTTTGGCATCTAGGTTTGGCATAGGAAATCACAATGCCGCTGTAACTGGGTTTGCCTACGCTGCACCGCTTTCTTCACGCCATCTCTGGATGAAGAGGCTGTGCAGCAAGTCGTGTTGACAGAGTTTAGAGTGGAGGGAAAGCTTCAGAATAATGTCTTAGAGTTCATTGTTGAAATTATGTGAACAACACACGGTATCTGTGTACGTCCGAGCACATGCACACTTTGGTCAGAGCGGTAATAATGCTGTTAAAGGTGTTTAGGTGCCTGTTTATTGTGATTAAAATTGTGTACACCACATAGTTTAATGTAATTATGGTTACGATTAAGGAGCTTAACTGCATTAGTTTGATCGAAGCACTGTGTTTATTAAATGAGGAAAAGTTTCATTGCAATATTGCCCAAATCACATTATGATCGCATTATGAGGGTGCATGTAAACGTAGTCAATAATGCCAAATGCTGGGTGTCCGATCGTGTGTCCTGACATGCCCAATTGGATATTTAAATCTTACAAATTAGAATATTTAAATCTTACAAATTAGATGAGATTAGGAATATTTTCAGTGGAAAACAACATAATTTCTGTCTTGGGAAAAGTTCTGAATAACTATTATTTTAATGTTTTTTGAAAGAAGTTTCGTATGTTTAGCAAGGCTGCATTTATTTGATCAGAAAAACATTTAAAACAACTATTTTCTCTTTGAATATATGTTAAAATGTCATTTATTCCTGTTGTCAAAGCTAAATTTTCAGCATCATTACTCCAGTCTTCAGTGTCACATGATCCTTCAGAAATCATTCTAATATGCTGATCAATGCTGCTCAAGAAACATTTCTTATTATCAATGTTGAAAAGATATTCAACATTGATAGATATAGAGATAGATATCTAGAAATTAATACTTTTATTCAGCAAGGATGTTTCCACTAATACTAAAATATTATGCTATTATATATAACGGTTTTAAACATAGGCCTGTATAATAAAAACCGTTATTAATAATTGACCACTAATAATTGATAGTAAATGAGCATCAAATCAGCATATCAGAATGATTTCTGAAGGATCATGTGAGACTGAAGACTGGTGTAATGATGCTGAAAATTCAGCTTTACATCACAGGAATAAATTACATTTTACAATATATTCACACAGATAACTGTTATTTTAATAATATCTCACAGTATGCGTTTACTGTGTTTTTGAGCAAACAAAAGCATCTTTGGTGAGAGTAAGAGACTATTTTCTTAATTATTCCATTTAATTATTATACTCTTTTTTTTCTCCACTATTCACTTTAATTGTATGAAAAAGAGCAGCTTGAACATTCTGCTAACATCTTTTTTTCCCTACGGTTTGGCACAACATAGGGGTAAATGAAGACACCGAATAAAACATCAATAGTGTCTCATCAATCAGTCATTTTAATGAAAACGTGTTAAGGTAGAAAGGAATAGCATTATGTAACTTCTCCACTATTCACTTTAATTGTATGAAAAAGAGCAGCTTGAACATTCTGCTAACATCTTTTTTCCCCTACGGTTTGGCACAACATAGGGGTAAATGAAGACACCGAATAAAACATCAATAGTGTCTCATCAATCAGTCATTTTAATGAAAACGTGTTAAGGTAGAAAGGAATAGCATTATGTAACATTATGGGCATAAAAGCATGTTTAGAGGTGCTGGTTCATTAACTCTCATTATTATTAGAGGACGACAGCTGCTAGTTAACGTGAAGTGAATGACAGATGCAGGGCAGGTGTACCTCCTCTTTCTCTGCGCTATCCAGGTCTCTCCATTGCTCGATAGGTTGTGCCAGGTCCAGGGTGTTCATGGGAATCTTCACCTCACCGATCACATCATGCTTTGAGAAACGGTCGAAGTCGTACACAGACATGACTAGAGTCTTTCCTCCCATTTCAGTGAACGGAATCTAGAAATCAACATCAGCTCATGAGTACTTTGACAGACTAGTGTGTTAGGTGTCGAAACCTGGCATAAACTGGTACTGTACTGTAAAAGATACTCTACCTTAAAGTGGAAAGTCTCGTTGAAGACGGGGTTGAGGGTTTTCTTGTGCACCTTGGTGTCAAACTTCTTCTTCTTGTCTGGGAGAATAAAAACTTTGACATACGGGTCTGAGGTGCCGCCACTGTCCATGGAGAGAAGATCTGCAGCTTGCAGGATGCCCACTGTCAGCTGCATGATAAGAGTGTCAGTCTTTACTGAGCAAAATCTGTTGTAACTTTTTACATGATTGCTGGTTGTGCCACAAGAGTATTATGAAATCAGCATGATTTTTCCTTTTCTTAATCTGGCACAATCTAAAGGAGCATCACATTAGCAAAGTTTTGTGGTCAAAACTGTCCAGGGTCTGTCAAACCTAGTAGATTTATGTTGGTCAGCATGGCAAAGTTGCATGAGAATTTTAAATCAGTTGCAAAATCTGCACTAAATCTTTCGCCCTCATGCAGAATTCTAGAATGCATATATTCCTATTGAAATGACTGGATTTTGACTGGATTTATAAATAGTAATTAACTTCATAAAATAAATACATGTAACTGAAATACAATACAATATAAAAAAACTTTAAATAAATAATACATAAAATAAAATACAAAAAAAAAAAAAATTTAAATAACTAAAACTGAAATAAAATGAAGAAAAACTATTTAGACATTTTAAAAAATACAACAACAAAATGACAAAAATTGTAACTAAAATTAAAATGAAATGGAAAATAAATAAAAAAACTAATTCAAAATATTAATAAAAACTGTAATGCTACGATACTAAAATAACACTGGACGTAATTTGTCATTGACCCTTTACTCCCTGACTTCTTGTCCATTTGTGAATATTTCTGAGATGTTTTAAAGGGTTTTTGTTTTTAAACAACATTAGGAATAGCTTTAAACAACAATTGGATAATGGGTCATGGTTTTTAATTCATGCCACCATTTCTAGGTGTTTAGTTTCTGTATAGAGATTTGTTTCACTCAGCTTGCTGTACATTAAAATATTTTGACATGAAAAATGCACTTGATGTACACTTAAAATACAAATTAAACAACCTTAGGAATAGCTTTAAACAACAATTGGATAATGGGTCATGGTTTTTAATTCATGCCACCATTTCTAGGTGTTTAGTTTCTGTATAGAGATTTGTTTCACTCAGCTTGCTGTACATTAAAATATTTTGACATGAAAAATGCACTTGATGTACACTTAAAATACAAAAATAGCTGAAGAACAGCATAGTATGCTCATACAAAAGATGAGAATAATGTTATGTGTATGTAAGACAAATCTGGGCATTAATGTGAACTGATAAACAGAAAGATTAAGACATAATTCACTTAGATATCCAAGCTGATGTGTTTAAACATACTGTAAAGCATAAAGTGGCCATACCTTGTTGTCAGAGAAGTCGTAGTCTAGGGAGAACTGTAGTTTACCAAGCTTCTCCTTCTCTTTCGGTTCCTCCTCTTTCTCTTCAGTTATTCCCATGTCTATATCTTCTTCATCATCATCCTCGTCCTGTTTCTGGAGAGACAGAAGCACAGATGGACGTTACAGGAGAAACTAGAGCAAAGGCAAAGGAAGGTAAATGAAGTTCCCCAAACATGGTTCGTCGGGCCAATTCTCAGCTTACCTGAAGTTTGCCAGGTGTCAGACCACCCGGGTGTTACTGTATGTAACTGTGTCAGCGATGACCTTCATAGCAACATGACTTGATTTCACTTTTCCTATCATGACACCATTTGCAATCGTCTACATTACTTTTGCGGAGGGAAAGACAGACAGAAGGCTTCTAGTCTGTCTGAAGCGGTCTGTCCATAAATCGATTCTCAGTCTGCAGGGTATGTTAAAACCCTGAGAGATGAGGACTGAGTCTAAAGGGCTCGCTTTTGCACAGGAAGAGAGATTCAGAAGATACAAAAGCGAAGTGTTAAAGCCAATACACATATCAGCCCAAATATATAATGTAAAATGATGGACATTTTGGAAGAAACGTTTGGCAGACAGATACTAAAGATCACAGTACAGGAGCAGAATGAGTGTTATTTTACACATCATCATTTCTCACAGTCCTGCTGCAATGGAAAAAAAAAAAAGCTGAAATGAATCTTAATGAACTTATATCGTCATTTAATGATTCTGTTGTAATTAGTACTTTTGTGCCCTGTGCTGTAATTGAATATTTTATACTTGACAAGGCTGTCTATTGTGTGCAAAATATACTTTAACATGTCTTTTTAGATTCAGTTAAACATAATAGTGTAATCATAAAAGAAGAAACATCAAATGAATTGCAGTAAAGAGAAACAATGACATGGAAAAGCCTATTGTATATTTTAAGAGAGAGAGAGTGAGTCTATGAAACAGTCTTTGCTAATACAATTCTTCCAATAATTTGGATTATATGGGTAGTGTATAGCATATTTGTCATGGGATTTGCCAAATTATGTGGTCTGTGGCATCAAATCTTATTCAAAGAACATGTTATGCTCCTACGCCTTCCATAGACAATATAAATACATTTAGACCACTTAACTTAGTGATTGCTATCGGGATGTGAAGAGACTTTCAACCAGCATGTTTTCAACCAAATCACCTACCGTGCCTTGAAATAAATGAAAAGAAACACAAACTGAACTCAGTGTGAAAAAACAAGTGTATCCATGACAAAGATTGTATTAGTCTCTCAGTATGTATTTTTAATAATGTTAAAATGGTTTAATATTTATGAATTAGATTTTGTATGCATCCATGTCGTTGCAAGTGTAGTGCACTTGCGGAGAGACTCCGCCCACACACTCTTCTGATTGGCTGTGATTTTTGATTGAGTTTTTCACGTCACATAGGCCTAACCGTGTCGCGACTTTTGTGAACTTACAAATTGCTTGTCGCTGGAATCTTATCGCATCACGCCCGATTATGACACTGTGTAAGCAGTAAAGTAGACCAGACATTATGCTGATAACCGAAAGTCTCTCTCTGCTAGCCTAGCATTTGTGTCCCCTGAAAGACTTGGAGTTAACATAGTACATAACCCTGTTACATGACTAACACTGCTTTGGGCGCAGTAGTGACCCCAGCAAGCTCATCCACGTGGGAACATCCAACCGCACTACCGGATCCCCACGGTGACTGCTCATCAGATCAAGCATTTCTGAGATTTGTTATGCACTTTGAAGAATTTATGCAGCCTCAAATGCAATGCTAGTGAAACAGCAAATATTAGCTTACATGGAGATGTCTGCTTCAGCTTTTGGGAAAAACAAGAAAAGAAAAGAAATACAAGAATACAAGACGAATGAAAAGAGTTGAATTAGAATGTCTCTAATAGAACAAAAAATGCTTGGGGTGAGGATTCATCCTTCCTGACCACTCACCCCAAAATATACAAACACACGCAAACTCAAAAACACACACACTCTCTCTCACACACGCACATAAAAAAGCACCATTTCTTATATCTTAACTGACAGGATAGAATGCATTCATGCATGCCAAGCCACAAAATGCAAAGTCTGAAAATATTCCTCATTGATTGCATAATTGTTCAAGCCATAGTGAATAAAACGATGCTGGCATTAAATCTGGAGGATGATTAATGATGAAACGGACTAATGTGGTATTGCTAATATGAAGTGTGCGGTGGTTCTCTTGCGTAACTTCAGGAGACTTGCATTGAGCATTCAGAGGCAGTCATGCTAAGTTCTAGCACATTCATCTTAGTAAAGGTGGCAGATGGAATAAGAAACGGTGAAGGAGAAATCATTCACTCACAATAAACAATTATTTGCACCAACAGCCCTGTGATCAAATTAGCATGTAATGATTAACCATGTTTATTACTATATGATTTAAGTTCATAATTTAAACTTATTCAGCCTAGTTTTTTTAGGTGCTATTCACTACCCCAAGAAAAGAAAAAACAAAACACTGGCCTGTTATGTGTCGAAAATGTATGATGTGCTTTATTTCGTGAGAAACCAGTAAAATGCATGTGTGTAAAGTGGAATTATTAATAATGAAGGCATTTTAAAAAAGTTATTAAATGATCAATTAAACCTCGGTTCAGTTCTTGGGGCAGTGAGATATCAAAGGTGAAGTGTGTAATTTCCGAGCCACTAAGCTTTGCCAAATTGAAAAGATGAAGACTGTTTTCAAACAGGTTTCCCATGTCATCTGTCATTGGCCGGATAACAGACAGTTCCGCCTCAAACTCACACCACTGGTTGAGCACGAGAGCCCAATGTTTGGATAGTTAGCATTGCACTGTTAGCCTAATATTAACATATTAACTACATCATCACAGGGACAAAAGCATGTTTATTGACGGCTATTTAAAAGTAGCCGTGCATTCTTAAAAGTTTACCTTTGAAACCTGAAAAAAAATGTTTCACTGTTTTCACAAAAATATGAAGCAGCACAACTGTTTTCAACATTGATAGTAATCAGAAATGTTTCTTGAGCAGCAAATCAGCATAGTATGATTTCTGAAGATCATGTGACACTGAAGACTGGAGTAATGATGCTGAAAATTCAGCTTTGCATCACAGAAATAAATTACATTATAAAACATATTTACAAAGAAAACTGTTTTCAAATGTAATAATATTTTACAATATTGCTATTTTTGCTGTATTATTGATCAAATAAATGCAGCCTTGGTGAATATAAGAGACTTCTTTAAAAAAAAAAAAAAGGATATATATTTTGGATATATATCTGTTATCTTATAGGGATAGTAAAAAATAAAATAAAATCCTGTCATCATTTACTCTCCCTCACATTGTTTTAAATCTGCCAAATTTCAGCAAATGTCACATATTTCCACATCGTTTACTTTAAGAGCTTTAACACTGAAAATATTACACACATCACCCTTGACAATATTTCAAACTAAAGCACACTAAGCTGGAACACACACACACACAAAAAAAAACTAAACCATTACAACAGGTCTCCTGGTGAAAGTCTGTTTCCCACACCACCTACGTCATCCCACGACTCATCTCTACATTTCAGGAAGAAAAGCTTCTTTGTTTCTTTCCACACAATGGGTCGTCCAGGAAAGTTACTCTCAAGTCAAGTCATGGTCATTCACTGGTGCCTGTATGAAGGGCATGCATTGGGCTTTGTCTCAAACGCTGCTTCACCTCATCTGGACATTTCTTTGGTTTCTTTTGCTACTAGCTAACTGCTTTAAGAAAAGGATGTATAAAGATGTTGCATAACTTAAGTGAGGGATCATTTAAGGGACAGATTTGTGATAGGTGGAGCAGCTTTCAGAGGACAAATCACCAACCGTACCCTTTCAACATGCATGTTAGTGAGGATTGGTGTGTTGGTGTCTCTCAATAAGCTAGGATGAAGTTTAAGTTCATAACCAAATGCACATCCACTTCTAAAGGGCCATTCCTTCTACTCGTTTGGCTGTACCCCCCATCCCGTTCATGTGGCATGTCAAACTGGTGGAATGCGAGCCCTCCCCAAACCAACCCCATACTAGCTCCTCAAGCAACCTCAGCACCCCTGCAGCTTGCAAGACTCAAGAAGAAGCCAAAGAGTTCATTCCCAGCCAGTTTTCATAGCCCAGTTCCCCCCGCCCTGGTCTGAGCTTACACCAGGCGGTCAGAGAGGGGCGCTGCAAGCCATGTCACACCTACCGTAAGAAGACAGGTCCAGCACAGTCAAGATACACGGAGCACATATCAGACACAAAGCGGGAAGGATAGAGAGATGAAGAAATGGAGAGAGAGGGAGAGATTGAACTGAGGAAATCAAGTAACACTTAATGGGCATGTATCAAAAATGACACACTTTGGTTTAAATAAACACATTGTGTTATTGGATAATACAAACATCAAATTTAACCAAAGAAATTTGAGAAGCAAACCACAGAGGCACATTTGAGGCACTTTTATTATATAGTAAGAGAGACTGAGGGCAACTGTAATGCATTAAATGTCTTAAATTTTTTATCATAGTATCTAAATAAAGACTCTTGATTATTTCAGATAATTATAGTATAGGTAAATCTTAAGATGTGCTTTAAATGCATATTATTTCTGGCAGCTAAAAATAGCACTATAGGTCAACACTATTCAGTAATATCAATAAGTATTAAAGCAGTCTTATTATATTTTGAATTTTGCTCTTATCTGAGAGTGTTATTTTAGTATCATTGAAATACTATTATAGTTTTAATATTTTAAAATTTTGAATATACTATTATAGTTTTAATATTTAAAAATTGTGAATATACTTCGTTTTAATATTTTTATTTGAGCATTTTCCATTTTAACGTTTGTTCATTTTAATACTTGTGGTTTTTTATTTGTATTAGTTATTGTTCTATGCATTTTTATTAGGTTTTACTTCAGTTTTAGTTTAAGTTAGTTTAGTTAAACTATGAAAATGAGAAATGTTGCAAAATTAAAAAGTTTAAGTAGGTTTTTTTAAGTAATGCTTTTTTATGGTTTTATCTTTCGTTAACTATAATAACCCTGATTTGAGATACACTGGTATAACTATATTTACATTAATAATTAATAGTGTGCAGTTACTGATTTTTAACTTTGTCAATATGACTAGTTAGGCAAAATACTGTAGTTTAATTTTTTTTGTACCAAAATAAATGCGTTGGACAGTTATTATTATTATTTTATATATATCTTTTATTTATTTATACATATTTGTATTCATTTGCAATAATTTATATTTATATTTAGTTCAATATCAAATCTAATCATTCTCATTATATCTCTATTAAAGAGTTTCTTTTGCCACATATACAGTAAATGGTACTTATACTGTACAAAAAGCTAGCAGACAGTATTCAGTAAGTTATGAAGGGGAAAAAACTATTACAATAGCCCCTGGTCTCCCATAAATATTAAGCTTGTCTTGAAGGTGTTTATGCACAACTAAGTTTTTTGAGATTATTTATATAGAAAATTATATATTAGGATATTAATTTTAATGATTAACAAAGGGAAATTAACTTGTCACAATTGCAAACATACAGCACACAGCGGGATCTGTCACAACACGGCGAATACAGCAAAACTCTTTAGCGACTCAGTTATTATATTTCCAGCACAGATAAAAAAAGATTTAGTGCTGCTGTGCGTTTGCTGGAAAATGTGTCATTTTTAACACAAAAGCACAAGAGATTTACAGCAAATACATTCTTTTGGAAACCAAATTATACGAACACGGCAAATGAAATGACGTGGCGGGAAATCTTTCATGTTGCTTTCCTGCTTTACAGGCAGCAAATGATGTATAACACTGAATATTTTATATTTCATGAATATTAAATGGCTAAAAAATCTTTCCAGAATACCAACCATCCATTTGCTTGACCTAGAAGCTATATTAAGGATATGTGAGGGGTAGTAACACAGCTGTTTTTAAAACAGACAAGCTCGCTGAGTCTTTCAAATTTGAATCTTTTCAAATAATATATTGCATTGTTAAAGGCATTAAACAAGTGAAAGATTCAGATTAGATATGTATCGAACCCTATTAAACTCATTAGCAACAGACGGAAATTAGGAAGTGGAAAAACATTAATCTTTCTGTCTCTTTGTACAAAGTTTTAAAGGAATAGTTCACCCAAAATTTAAATGTAGACATCATTTATTCACTCTCAAGTCATTCTGTTGTGAGACATAAAAGGAGATGTTGAGCAGAATGTTCAAGCTGCACATGCAATCAAAGCGAATTGTGATTTTTACTGCCAAGCTCCAAAAAGTCAAATAAGCATCAGGTTGGTGTGATTAACAAAGAGAAATATAAGAAATTATTATCTGAATTTACAGATTTTTATATCATTTTGGAGCTTGGCATTATAAAACACCATCTACTTTCATTGTATCTAAAAGAACAACTTGTACAACTTCTGTAACATCTCATTTTGTGTCATGAAAGAAAGAAATACAGGGCTGAAACATCAGAATGAGTAAGTATGATATAAAATATTCATTTTGACGTGAACTATCCCTTTAAGCCTGAAGAGCGTCGGTGTCGGGTGTTCGTACCTCTCCTCCCTTCATGTTCTTCATTCCCATGTCTCCCTTGCCTTTCTTTCCCTTTTTGCCTTTTTTCTTCTTAAGGCAGGTCTTTTTAACGATGCAGAAGCAGCACGTGAGAATGAGGACCACGGCTACGATGGCGATGGCGATGATGGCCCAGGGAGGCACTAAAAGTGAGAGAAGGACAGAGAAAGATGGAGGAACAGAGGCTGGAAATACAAATCTAGATTGATCAGGGTCATTAAAAGAGCCGAGCTTGTCTTCACCATTACCTTCATCAATGCAGAACAGGACTAAAGCTTAAATCTCACTGCTTGTAGGGGAGAGTGTATGTAACTGCAAAAATGTAGCTTCAGGCATATTCTAGATAATGAAAGTTTGTCAAGACTAGTGCTTCACCCCTAATAGTCGACTGAACGTTAGTTGACAAGAAGAAGCTTAGTCGACCAAAATTGTATTAGTCTGTTAGTCACAAATAAAAAAAAACTGCCTGTGTCCATGACGGAAAGATCATTAATGGCTGGTCCTTGAAGTGATTACCGTGGCGATTCTAGGATTTCAATATTAGGGGGCTCAGCCCCCAATGATGGTATGATTAAAATAATAATAATAATAATAATAATAATATATTATTTTAACTAACCAGATCATATTCATTTATATTCATTTAGAATAGGCAAACCTTATTTTACTGTAATTGTCTAGTTTGGCAGTATGTTTAATCTGCCCTATATTAAATCATTCCTTTTTGTTTTCTATTTAAATAAATAAATAAATAGCAGCACATGGATCTATCAATTTGCCACTGCTATAATTCATAGTGACATCAAAAACCACAAATCCCTTTACTCTAAGGCTATAAACGTCACAATCAGCTGGTGGGTCATCAGGCATATTCTAGATAATGAAAGTTTGTCAAGACTAGTGCTGCACCCCTAATAGTCGACTGAACGTTAGTTGACAAGAAGAAGCTTAGTCGACCAAAATTGTATAAGTCTGTTAGTCACAAATAAAAAAAAAACTGCCTGTGTCCATGACGGAAAGATCATTAATGGCTGGTCCTTGAAGTGATTACCGTGGCGATTCTAGGATTTCAATATTAGGGGGCTCAGCCCCCAATGATGGTATGATTAAAATAATAATAATAATAATAATAATAATATATTATTTTAACTAACCAGATCATATTCATTTATATTCATTTAGAATAGGCAAACCTTATTTTACTGTAATTGTCTAGTTTGGCAGTATGTTTAATCTGCCCTATATTAAACCATTCCTTTTTGTTTTCTATTTAAATAAATAAATAAATAGCAGCACATGGATCTATCAATTTGCCACTGCTATAATTCATAGTGACATCAAAAACCACAAATCCCTTTACTCTAAGGCTATAAATGTCACAATCAGCTGGTGGGTCATTATTTCCAACAAAATAATTGATGTGTGTCTGTCTCTGTCATTCACTCTGATAAGCAGTTTAAATGAATGCATTGACTGAGTGCTGTCTGTCACTGCACTGTGAAAAATATTTTCATGATTTGTTATAACTTTTCTCAAATCTTTCGTCAAATCAGCTTAGATTCTCAAATGTTGTTCAGTTAACATAATATTTAGAGTTTCTATTCAATAATCTGATCTCTTTGTATCAACTCACTTCTCAATAATAGTTTAAATGAATTCAACATTTTAAAGCAAACAGGTTAGGCTACTTAAGTTAAACCAACAAATCATTTTTCAGTGTGTCTCTGTAACAAGTCCACTGGCGAGTAGTAGATGAACCCAAGTGCAGTTTATTTACAATGTGAAATCCAGAATCCAAACAATAAACAAAGACTTGACATGGCATGAACAGACTTGGCATGAACAGACTTGACCTTCAACAGAAACACAACTCACCAACAGCATGTTTTCTATTTAAATAAATAAATAAATAGCAGCACATGGATCTATCAATTTGCCACTTCTATAATTCATAGTGACATCAAAAACCACAAATCCCTTTACTCTAAGGCTATAAACGTCACAATCAGCTGGTGGGTCATTATTTAGAACAAAATAATTGATGTGTGTCTGTCTCTGTCATTCACTCTGATAAGCAGTTTAAATGAATGCATTGACTGAGTGCTGTCTGTCACTGCACGGTGAAAAATATTTTCATTATTTGTTATAACTTCTCAAATCTTTCGTCAAATCAGCTTAGATTCTCAAATGTTGTTCAGTTAACATAATATTTAGAGTTTCTATTCAATAATCTGATCTCTTTGTATCAACTCAATTCTCAATAATAGTTTAAATGAATTCAACATTTTAAAGCAAACAGGTTAGGCTACTTAAGTTAAACCAACAAATCATTTTTCAGTGTGTCTCTGTAACAAGTCCACTGGCGAGTAGTAGATGAACCCAAGTGCAGTTTATTTACAATGTGAAATCCAGAATCCAAACAATAAACAAAGACTTGACTTGACATGGCATGAACAGACTTGGCATGAACAGACTTGACCTTCAACAGAAACACAACTCACCAACAGCAGGTTACAACATCAATGAACAACAAGATACAATGGCAACAAGAGGGCTAATTATAGCAAACACATTAAGGGTCACATGACAAGAATCAACCAATGAGCAAATAGAACGGAGAACCACATGACAGGACAATAACCCATGAGGAACAAGACACAGGACTAGGACAACCAATCAGAACTTGAGACATTGAACAGAGGAACCAATAGCAGGAATACAAGAGGGCAAGGGAAGCTTGACACTAACATCATGAATGAAATGACAAAATAAAAGACATGAAAACCAGAACATGAAACAAAACCCAAAACAGACCTTACATATCCCCCCCCCCTCAAAAAGGCTGCTTTAGACGCCTAAACCACCCAAAACAACAAAAGCCCAGGAGGGTGGTGGAGCAGAGGTAGTCCAGGGGGCGGGATGGAGGGTCAGGCCCGTGAAGAGGAACAGGACCTGGAGCGTGGAGCAATGGTGGACCAGGATCATGGGGCAATGGCAGAACTAGTCTGTGGAGCCATAAAGGACAGTGAAGCACTGGAGGACCTGGACCGTGAAGCAGTGGAGGACAGTGAAGCACTGGAGGACCTGGGCCATGGAGCAGTTGCAGACAGTGAAGCACTGGAGGACCTGGGCCATGGAGCAAAGGCAGACTGTGGATCAAAGGAGGACCTGGGCCATGGATCAGATCCAGAGGAGCATTGAGCCATGGCGGAGCCGGCAGAGCAGAAATTCATGGCAGAGCAGGGAGCCATGGCGGAGCAGGCAGAGCATGGAGCCAGGGTGGAGCAGGAAGCCAGGGCGGATCCGGCAGAGCTTATGACCACCAGGTCAGAACTGGTGGAGCGGGAAGCCAGGGCGGAGTCGGCGGTGCTGAAGACTCCCACAGTAGAACAGATCAGGCCAAATATCCCCACGGTGGAGCAGATGACCACTTCAGTGCAGGGAACCACCATGGCGGATCAGGCGAGACTGGAACACAGAGCATAGAGAGGTTAACAATGCAGACTCGTGGACAGAAGAGATCTCTGAGGCAGATTCATGGACAGGAGAGGCCTCTGGAGCAAACTCGTGGACAGGAGAGGCCTCTGGGGCAGATTCATGGACAGGAGAGGCCTCTGGAGTGCAGTGTGCAGCCCACATGCTCAAAATGGCGATCACCATTACAGTAAGGGCAGCAGAGGGTGGCAGGGCCTCTAGGATGGTTGGGCTTGAGAACGCGGATGTCACTGGGATGCCTGCAGCTTGCACCGACATCAGAGGTGGGTCCATCATACTGGCAATCAGCCCTTTCATTCCTAGCCCAAGCTCGGCATCCTCGGGAGCTTGGGTACTATAGCCCCGCCCCAAAAAATCAAGCTCTGACGTGATGGCAGTGGCGTGGCGAGGCTCAGGCGTGGTGGCCATCTTGGCCGGGGACTCAGGCGTGGCGGGCTTGACGTGAGCAGACTCTTGAATGGCGGCCATGTCGTGACGAGGCTCTGGAATGGCAGCCACTTTGTACAAAGTCTCTGGGTTGATAGCCATTTTGTGATGAGGCTCTTGAGTGGCTGGTATAGCGTGAGCAGGCTCTGCCTTGGCTGGCATGACGTGAGCAGGCCTTGGAGTAGCAGACATGACATGAGAAGGCCCTGGAGTAGCAGACATGACGTTAGCAGGCTCTGGAGTAGCAGACATGACGTTAGCAGGCATAACGTTAGCAGGCTCTGGAGTAGCAGACATGACGTGAGCAGGCTTTGGCTTGACAGGCATGACGTGAACGGGCGCTGGCTTGGCAGACATGATGTGAGCAGACTCCGGAGCAGTAGGCATGACATGAACATACCCTGACATAACGGTCGGGACGTGAAAATGCTCTGGTGCAGAGGGTATAGCACAACTGTGGGGCTCCTCATCCGCAACTCCCACAGTAAATTCAGATCCACTCAACCGCAAAGCATTAAACAAGAGATGTCCTTACTTAAACCAAAATGAAAAATGTCTTTAAGGAAAGTATCGTTAAAGTCTACCAAATGACAACTTACAAAAGTCCGCCACATAATCCTCAATGAGCCTGTTTCCTTGGCGAAGTCGAATGAGACAATCTGCTGGGTTCATTTTTTTTCTTCGGTCGTGTATTCTGTATCAAGTCCACTGGAGGCGAGTAGTAGATGAACCCAAGTGCAGTTTATTTACAATGTGAAATCCAGAATCCAAACAATAAACAAAGACTTGACTTGAAACAAACTTGACTTGACATGGCATGAACGGACTTGGCATGAACAGACTTGACCGTGAACAGAAACACAACTCACTAGTGATGTGATGTTCGACACCGAGGCTTCGAAGCTTGTATCAAAAAAACGAAACTTCTCACAGTGAAGCACTGTACCGGAGCTTGATTCGTTTTGCAAAAACCACGTGATCTGTGACGTCCGAAGCTTCGTTTTCGCACACAACCACGTGACTGCTTTGTATTCTTATTCAAATAACGCGAACCACTTTCGCAGTTTCAAGTGT